ATGTTTAGCAATAGCACTGTCTTTAAATGAGTACTTCTTGTCAAGGTAGCCTTAACGCAGTGCATTTAAAAAAAAAATATGTTTTGATTTTTTTTTGCCCCCCTCCCTCCCTCCCATATATACCCTCCCTCCCCAGAGTTTTATGTCCATTGGTTGTACTTATATGCATGTACACAAGTCCTTCGGTTGATATATTATCTCCCCCAGATCTTCCTCCCCTCCCCACTGTAATTTGACAGTCTGCCTGTTGCTTTACATTTGCAGTGCAACTATCAGTGATTTTCTCCCATGAATTCTTCACCCAAGTCACAACTTCTTGCAGTTTAGGTTTCACAAAGTTTCCACGCTGATTTCTCTCCATTCTATTTTCAATGTAGTCATTACTTTTCATGCACAAATTGTCTTTGAATGGCTTGTTTACTGTAATATCAAGAGTCTGGAGATAGGCCATCATTCCTGCGGAAATCATTATCTGATCTATTTTTCTTTTGTGAAGAAATGTCTTCATGTCTTTAGCGCGGTGAGTGCTGGCTGCATCCCAGACTAGCAGACCTCTTTGGCTCCCTCACATAACAAGCGGCAGCATTAAATTGACCCGCTTCCTTATAACTGCTTGTGTGGCCAGGCTTTTTCAGTTTCAAGAATAAAAATGCCCAAAACACATTGAATCTTTTCCTTCTTGCCCTTAGAAATGATTAAAGGTGGGATTTTGGTGCCATCCAGACAAATTGCCAAAATACAGGAAACACGTGCACTTTCCTCAGCAGTGGAGGGAATGTACACTAAGGAAGCACACCACTGTTCAATTGTTGTTTAAAATGATTGGCCCATAAACACTGCAGTTTCATCCATAGCAATCATGTTGGAAAGATTGTATTTAGAGTATTCAGCATCATCAATAAAGGACTTGAATGCAAGTGCTCACTTCATAACTTGAGTATCTTCCAACCTAAACAATGTTGTAGATCTTCTTAAAGACAGTTCACTTTGCTGAAGGAACTTATCCAGCCAGTGTTGTGATGCTTTGAAGTCTTCGGGGGCTATGTCAAACTGTGGTGCCATTGCAAGGGCAAATTCTTGAATCTGAGTCCTATTCACAACCAAAGCCTTTGCTCTCCTGTCAACAATCCATTCACAGATCAGGTCTTCCAGCTGGGAAAATAATGGTTGCCAACCTGATCCACACTTGCGCTTTTTAGCATTTCCCTTGTCCACTTGTTCAATGAGGTAACCATACTCTGCTCACCATTTTCGGACCAATCAGATACTCAACATTTTCTCTTTGCAGAAAGCAGTAAGATTTTGGCCCCAAAAGTCTTCCACGATTCCTTTCTTGTACTCCACAGAGTAGCTTTTTCTTTTTGCGCTCATTTCTAGGGGTAAATAAAAGGAATTGGGGTATCAAGGTGGGGGAAGGGGAATCACTTAAAATGACACAGGGGGGATCAGAGGGAAGAATCAAAATGGCACAGGAGAATCAGAGGGGGATTATTATTTTAGTAACTCCTTTTGATCCTCCTGTGTCATTTTGATTGCCCCCTCTGATCCTTTTGTGTCATTTTAAGTGATCCCCCTCCCTTCACCCCTGTGCCATTGAACACCTTCACCAGACATCCCCCCCATGCCTTTATCAGACATTTACCCCCTGGGGCCTGCCTGGGGACTATCACCAGGCTTGCTGGGGCCTGGATCTGGGCTGGAGCAGGGTCTGCCACTGACTGAGAACCTTCAGTCATCATGAGGGCAGCCACGAGAATCAGGTAGTGTCACCACCTGCACTCAGCACCCACAACAGACCAGCACTCACCACCTTAGCCGTGTCCTGTCCGCTCTAATCCTCCTGTTGTTCTTCTACACACATCTGCGAAAGTCTCCTCCTCTCTCACGTGCTCACCACTCACTCAGACCTCTGCTCCGCCTCCACACAGCAGAGGTCAGGACTCCACTTAACGTCACTGGTTGCTAGACACTAGTCGGGACGGCCCTAGCGACCAGTCTAAGGTAAATTAATTTTCATTCTGAGACAGAGCCTGGGGGGGGGGTGCTTATTTTCGGAGGGATGCCTTATATTTCACTCAGAAGGAAACCTGTAAGTAGGTCTTATTTTCAGAGGATTTTTTATTTTTGGGGAAACACAGTATTTCTCTCCAGATTGATATTGGTGTGTGCCTGTGTGTGTGTGTGTGTGTGTCCCTCCTCCCTCTCTCTTTCCTTTTCTCTCTCTGAAAATCAATAAAATAAAAAAAATAACATGCTATCCTATATAATAAAAGCCTATTATGCTAAGTGTCTGGTTAGCTAGTCGGCCATTCAACTAATCAAGCGTAATATGCCAATGACATACTAAGGCCAGTCAACCACTTGCTATGATGTGCACTGACCACCAGGGAGCGGACGCTCCTACTGGTAGATTAGCTTGCTGCTTGAGTCCAGCAGATCGGACCTAAGCGAGACAGGCCAGACACACCCTGGAGCCCTCCCATGGTCCCTCCCCAGCTGGCCAACCTCCCATATCTCTCCCTGGCCTCAGTTATGCACTGGTGGGGTCACTCAGCCTGGTCCACACCCTCTCTCAATCCAGGACACTTGGGGGACGTCAGAGAGCTGATTCGGCCTGGTCCCGCAGGCCAGGCCGCGGGATCTCACTGGTGCACGAATTCATGCACCTGGCCTCTAGTAAGATTATAAAGGAATATTAATAAGACCATACTGACATAAATAAGTTAATGAAGGAGAAGAGAGTTACAAATAATTTATATAGACATTTTCCTGGTGCAGTGGTCAGCAAACTCATTAGTCAACAGAGCCAAATATCAACAGTATAAGGATTGAAATTTCTTTTGAGAGCCAAATTTTTTAAACTTCTTCTAATGCCACTCTTCAAAATAGACTCGCCCAGGCCGTGGTATTTTGTGGAAGAGCCACACTCAAGGGGCCAAAGAGCCACATGTGGCTCATGAGCCACAGTTTGCAGACCATGATCCTGGGGAAAGTAGAATTCTATTAACCTCCTTTCTCCTCCTTCCTTGAATATGGACTGCACTGAAGGGATTTGCTTTCAAAGAGCTAAGTATAAAAAAGAAATGTGAGTAACTTAATAGTGGAGAAACATGGCAAGCATTACTTTGACCAGGTGATCAACATTAGCATCACTATAGTTGTAAGTAATGTTGATAATATATAATCATGAAATAATCTGATGAGACTTGCACCTCACTCCTGTACTCTGCATGTTTACAAAAATTGAAAAATTAAACAATTCCAGAACCTGAATGTTTTTCAATCTCTTTTCTTAAACTTAAATGGCTCTTTAGGGAATTATATCTTATTGTAAGAAAACATTTCAGGAAGTTCAAAAATTTCTACAGTTTTGCTTCAATTAATTAATACTACTAAATTCTCATAAAGCCCTTGCTACAAGCCAGGTACTTTTTAATATTAAATCATTGAGTCCTCATAACTTCTATAAAACAGGCACTACTTATCCATATTGAGACAAAAAGACTAAATCCCAGAGACTAATCTTTCCATGGCTGTACAACTAGGAAGCAACAGAGCCAAGATTTAAAGACAGGTGTCTAATTCTGGAATCTGTGCTCCTAAATTCTATACTATAATATCTCTCAAATAAAACAGCATGTAGAGAATGATTTTATTTTTACCATTCATATCCTATGTATGCATCCATTCTACCACCAGCTGAAAGGAGCTTTAGGGGGTAAAATAGGCACAGCTGGTTGGGGCACCTCTGGGAGCCCCTCCCTATGTGGGAGTCTGTACTTGTTTCCAATAAATGTCTACCCTTTTCATCTACCACCTTTTGTCTGTGGCTTGATTCTTTTAATCCACCTGGACAAGAACCTGGGAAAGAAACCACACTTGTATCATGCTCAGAACAAAACCAACTGACTCACAACTAGCCATTCTTCCAGAAAATAGTGTTTAAAAATACAAGCAAGGAGAAATGTTTGGAATAATGTTTCCTTATTAAGACAGTTATTTGGGAGAAGGCAGTATAGAATTTGGGTAAAAAATTTTGTTCCTTTATTTGTATTTTCTTTATTAGTCTTCCACAAAAAAAAAAAGTCATTAATCTAAACAACAACAAAAAACTCACATTACCTAATCACAACTTGAATACTGTCCTATTAATTATTTAATGACTTGTTCTCCGTAATGAGCCACAGAGCCTAGCACAATGTTGAGCAGAGCACACACAATAAGTATATTAATGGATCATAAAACATTACAATATTGCATTTCATCTATCTGACAAGTAACATATTTCTTTCTAGATGCTGTAGGGTCTTTCCACCAAAAGTGACTCTTTAGAATAGTGTCATTACATCAGCTGGGAGCTTGAAAAAAGGTCGACTATCAGGCTCTTCCAGAGCCTGAATTTTAAGTGAGTAGAATGCATATTGACATTGGTGAAGTACTATTTCTAGGACAATTATTTTCTCTAATTGTCATCCATTGTTTACCTATATTCGAATCACCTGGGTTGCTTGTTAAAAATGTAGATTCCCAGGCTCCATTCTAGTTTAGGTGTCACTCAGCTAACAGAAATAAAATGCAGTTAAGAATAGGAACGAGCATATTACATAAGAGCCGTGAAAGAACCCAAATAGCTGAAAGAAATCAAAAAAGAGATAAGAAGAAAGCGGGAAGAAAATAGAAGTTACAAAAGAACACAAGAGTAAGGACATCGACAATAGAACTATGAAGAAGTCAAGAAAGTAAGTGTACTCAGTGTTGTGCATTTCTTTTTTCGTGTGTGTGTGTGTGTGTGTATGTGTGTGTGTGAGTGTGCGTGCACTAGCTGCTATTCCTGACATGCAAACTCCTACAGCTTGCCAGAAGTCTGAGAAAAACTATGGGGATATAGAATTTACAACCGTAACACAAAAGAATCAGTAAGATTTCTGAATATGTAATCACCACATAATGCATACACTTTGTAAATGCTTCTAATGTCATAGATTTAAATGTGTACATACAGTTTTAGAGACATTTCCATATGGTTGGCTCGTGCGACTGCTTCATCTCTCTCCTCGTTGGCTATTTGTAGTCGAGTCATAATAGCTTCATCACGTTTCCTTTGTGCAAAGTACACCTCTTCAACCAGAGCTACCAAAATACATCATCCAAAATTATCAGAGAAAATAAAGGAGAAATGCATACTGTGAACAAAAATAATTTTCTTTTATTCATCTAAATTGGTATCAATTAGTCACGACAGAAATTATTTTTAAAAGCTACTGTAAAACTGAGTTACCATTTCACACCCAAAATATTAAAAGGTCAAATGATAACAAATATTGTGATCTTGTGAAATAAAGAAAATTCTCACATATATTTTTGAAATTGTCAAGAAAAATTTTATAATATTTATTATAGTTGAAGATGTCTGTAGCTTATAATCTGTCAAATCTCCTCTTTGGTATGTATCCTATAGAAATTCTTGCACATATGCACAAGGAACCATGTATAAAAATGCTTACTATAGCATTATATAACAGCAAAATAAGCAATAACTCAAATGTCCAACAACAGGAAAGGGAATAAATAACTCACTTTACATTCAAAATGGAATGCTATCCAGCATTTAAAATGAATTAACTATGGGCAAATCTCAAAAATGAAATTTTGGCAAAAACAACAAGTTGTAAAGTAAGACAACTTCACCTATTATTTATGGATAGACACAATTAGTAAAAATATTAAAACAAGCATGGAAACAATAAACACCCAAGTCAGAGGGTAGATAGATGGATAAATAGATAGACATGACAGATGTAGTAAAGGCTTTCGAGGAGAGTAAGGGTTTGTAAGAGAGTATTTTCACAGATGGGGAATAGACTAAGCAGTTTGTCAATTTCTTTTTAAAAAATTAAACATACAGCTATGACCATAAGATTCAGCTATTCCTTTCATAGGTGTTTTATAAATGCTAGAAATTTTTTCCTAAATTAAAGTATTATTGAATAATTTTAACATTAAGCTTTTATGTAAAATTTTATTATGAAAAACATGATTCTTTCTAGATTCAGTACTTTCAAAGGATCAATATGCAACTCTCAAACATTTTTAGTAAAGAAAACTTAATTGTAAACACTGAGCTTTTCCAAGGTGGATGACTATTACAAAGTTCACTAGAAAATCAATATAGCATTTTAGTTGGAATTTGCTCATTAAACACCCACAGCTCTACTGCAAATTATGATGGAATGAATAAAGCAAATACGCATGCTTCTTTCTTTTTATTAAATGTAAAATCTACTGTTAATTGCATCTCGTATGTCATACAAACTTTTGTCCTTAACTATTAAATAGAAGCCTTAACAAAAGTCATTAGAGATTCTCTTTCTTTGACTTGAATAAATTTCAATATTTGTTCAGTAAAGGTTCACAGCAGTTAAATCACATTAACAAATATTATTAGCTACTATGTAAGCCAACCAAGTAAAATACTTATATTGTAGGTAAAACAAATCACTGGTGTTTACAATAATATTTGGATATCTCCATTTTTAAACATGGTTATCAAATATTGTATAATTCTTAGTCAAATTCAAGAGACTCATCGAGAGGATCACCTTCCCCCCCCCACCCCCAGCACCAAATTCTCAAATTTGTTTAGTAAGCTAATTGTTTTCTAATATGGGCAAAAGTAAATATGAAGAGGCTAAACCATACTAAGTATGAGTTTATTGAGTCAAGACAAAGTACATATTTTCTTAGTAGAACCCAAGTCTATTGACAAACCCATATTGTACACTTCTCAAACTACTTTTAAAATACAGTAAGAGACAGTATATTGGAAAACATTCTAGTTTAAACATTGGATCATGATCCCCTAAATAACATAATTTGGACAATAGACATTGCCCAGGAAAAAGAATTTGTTTGTTAACATCCTCAAAGTAGTTATGTAAACAGAAAAGGCTGAACATAAAGAGAGGGGAAAAGAAATCATTAGGATTTGAATTTGAGACATAAGATAATCATCAATTACAATTCGTGTTCCAAAATTCTAAGAACAAATATAGCATAGATGATAGCTTTGTAAAAGACAAGTCTTTACTAAACATGAAAGAATTTCACATGTTTACTAAACATGAAAGAATGTCACTGAATACCTAACCATTACTAACTTTGCATGATGGTAAGTGGATTCCTTGCAAATATTTTAGTGTTTTATGAAACCATCACTATATATTCCAGAACCACAACTTTTACACTAAGTTTTTTAATTTCCTTAAAAGTTGTATTGTCTCTTTGTATATATTGGATAACGTGAATTTAAAGACATATGGTAAATGCCCATATTCAGTACAAAATTAACCAACCTACTTCACGTAGCTTGATGCTATTTTTATTTATTTTTTTTTTTTGCATTACAATGCTGGATTCAACTTTTTATTTCAGAGCTTCTTTTAAAGAAGAAACTATTGTGTTTTTCTAAAATTGAATTAAAATGTTCAATATTTTATATGATTATTTCATAAATGACCTTTTCTGATTAAAGAACCATACAGGCTCATTGTATAAATGCAGAGACAGAACTAGTTTACATAGTTTGTAACATTCAGAATATATTTAAAATAAACAGAGTATGTTCCTATATTCTTCAGTATTCTTTAAAAATATAAACAATTTTATATTGTACATGTTATCATTCAGACATACCATATTTAATTAAACTTAGATGGTCCTAATATAAGATTTTACACTGTTTTCAGTTATTTCACTATATAAACAACACTGTAAGGAACATCTTTGAACATAAATCCTTATGAACTTTAGCTAATTACTTAGGAAAATTCCTAGATGTATGACTACTACATTAAAAGTTGTCATTTTAGCTCCTAACATATGCTTTAAACTTTTCTTCTGTGAAGTTGCTATAAATGTATAAGTCCTCATTTATTATTGACTAGAGGTTCAGTGCACAAAATTCATGCGTGGGGGGGGGGGGGAAGGGTTTGAGTCCCTCAGCCCAGCCTGCACCCTCTCCAATCTGGGATCCCTCTCACAATCCAGAACTGCTGGCTTCCAACTGCTCACCTGCCTGCCTTCCTGACTGCCCTAACCACTTCTGCCTGCCAGCCTGATCACCTCCTAATCACTCCCATGCCAACCTGATTGATGTCTAACTACTCCCTTGCCAACCTGATTAATGTCTAACTGTTCCTCTGTTTGCCCTCAACTTCCCTCCTCTGCCGGCCTGGTATCCCCTAACTGGCCTCCCCTACAGGGTTGATCACCCCCAACTGTCCTCCCTTGCAGGCCTGGTGCCTCCCAACTGCTCTCCCCTGCTGGCCATCTTGTGTCCACATGTGGGCAGGATTTTGACTACATGGAGGCAGCCATCTTGTGTGTTGGAGGGATGGTCAATCTGCATATTACTCTTTTATTAGATAGGATAGAGGCCTGGTGCACTGGTGGGGGCCAGCTGGTTTGCCCTCAAGGGTGTCCCGGATCAGGGTGGGGGTTCCCTTGGGGTGTGGTGCGGCCTGAGAGAGGGGCCTGTGGTGGTTTGCAAGCCAGCCATGCCCCCCCCCTCCCCCCCCCCCCGCTACCCAAGTGGAGGCCCTGGTATCTGGAATTTCTTTATCTTCTACAATTGAAACTTTGTAGTCTGGAGTTGAGCCAAGCCTCCTGCTAGCTCTGTGGTGGCAGCCATTTCTGTTGGAATTTATTTATCTTCTCTAATTAAAACTATGTAGCCTGGGTTGGAGGTCTAGGCTGGCCAGGGCTGCAGAAGCTTGGCTTACTCCATTGCCAAGGGCAACCCTAGCCTCCTGCTCTTCCAGCTCCGTGTCTGCTGCCATTTCTGTTGGAATTTATTTACCTTCTGTAATTGAAATTTTGTACCCTTAAGTGGAGGCCTGGGCCCACCAGGATGTGTGGAAAGCTTGGCTTCCTCCATTGCCAGGGAAACCCAAGCCTCCCTCCTGCTCTCTGTGGCAGCAACCATCTTGGTTGGGGTTAATTTGCATACTCTCTCTGACTGGCTGATGGGCTTGTCTGATGGGTGTGATTTGTTGGGTGTAGCAGAGTGATGGTTCGTTTGCATATTACTCTTTTATTTGATAGGATAGGTTCTGTAACTTCAAGAAAAAAATGATGGATAAAAACAAATTTTATCATAAGTTAACTTACATAAACAAGAGTTAAGTTCCTATGAATGGTGTAGCAAAATGTTATCAAGGACCTGCTATACTTACCAATGGTTTAGGAATTGATAAACATTAATTAGAAAATTACAAAAATATGTTTAAGTAGAAAAATTATGAGAACGTGTTTTTGAGGGTGTTTTTTTTGTGTGTGTGTGCAAAATCTCCAATTCCTACATACAAATATTTAATACATATAACTAAAGACAATGTTAGAACACTTTCTAAAAATATGCTATTTATGTTTAATTATGCTATTTAATACCTCTCAGAACTACAATCTCTAATACTTTCAACAATAAAGATAAAACTACAATTTTAATGTGAAAGAACCTTATCCCTGAATTATAATTAGTATTGATTATTTTATACACTTTTGAAATACAATTTTAAGAAACATTTAAATTTCTTTCTATATGTATATACATTAAGTATATACCACTATAAAAATTTTGTGAAATATAATTACCTAAACTTTTTAGAATTAATTAAACATATAGAAAAAGGCTTAAGAAAATATTATCTGAAAGTTTTCTGTTACTTTTCTGTTTTAAATACCCTAATTATTTGACATGCTCTAAAATGTTTTCATTCTAAATTCCAATATGCCAAACATAATAAAATATTGCCAAATGATGGTTATTGTTAGGCACTGGCTTCTTTTTCCTGGATGCTTGTTTTGTTTCCTTCAGAAAACACAAACTCTTCTAGTGAGAGGTTACAACATTGACCATAATCTACTTCCAAGTATTATTTGACCTAGCACTCATTGGAATTAATCCTGATTCATATCCTGGGATTCTGCAGCCAAGGATGATATAATCAACCTCTACCTATCATTGTTTCGAACTAAGTGTATTTCAAAGAGAATGGGCCTTTTTGTTTTTATCTGAAACGACTGTCATATTCCTGAAATCCTTTTTTCCTTCCAAAATAAAACATGCAGAT